TCAAAACTATTTTTTGCAAATTAGGCCTAGAGACTTTGTCGGGTATCAATCATTGCAGTAAGAGTCGTCCAAAAACCAGTCATTTTCTATTTTCGATTTAATAGTTTGTTGAATTCCTCATCACTTTTAGCATCAAATCCAAAAAATTATTACCAGTGCTTGAACATCATCATACCAATGCCCGGGGTATTATTTTTCAATTACGTTTTTTTTAAATTAAATTTACAATAAAGAGATTTGTCTGTTTATGAGCAAAGCAGCCAATGATTGCCAATAAAATTTCTGTTCGGGAAATTTCGAAGATTTTCTGAGGATAACCGACGACTGGGCATTTTGGAGCAGTGGCTGAAGAAGAGAACCTCTTCAAAATGTTTCACTGTTTCGTTACCCCTTTGTGCCTCCGTCTCCACTTTCCATCGCGCTGTTTTTAATAGTACTGCGGACCGGGTATAAATAGTAAGCGACTGAAGTATCACTGTGAACGATGGCCAAGCGGTGTGGCTGCCTCGTGAGGAACTTGGCGGAGTATGGAGCGGGTGATGTCCGGGCGAAAATACCCGAGTGATGGTTTCAACCAGAATCTGGGAATTAGCGTCCTCCACGCATTTCCTCCGAATGCAGTCTCCGGGAACGTTCCGCTCGACGATATTCCAAACGCAGCTTATTTATGGGTGCTCCTCAAACCTAAAACCCGGGATACCAACGTGACGTAGGCGAACCAGCGATATTTCAAACCAGTGTTTCCGATCTGTACCCCTTCTGTATCTCCACTGACGTTTGTCTCCTCTCCGTAACGTGACTGTATTCCCGTTGACATTATATTTCCCACCTGTACCTTGACTGTATCAGCTTTGACGTTGATGCCAATTTCAATGTTTATGCGCAAAAGCTACTTATATCCTCGTACATTTGAGGCCTACTTTGTTAGTAAATTGTTGCTTTGCTCAAAAGTTCACCACAGCGGGTGGTACCTGTAAGGCGGGGAATGTACTCGAACTGCAACTGATAAGATGGCGCCCACATACGGTAAAGTAGGCACGCCTAACTAAAAGGGAACGGCCCGTGATGGGAAGTCTGTTCTTCACAAACCTTGATGTGATCGTACGCGCTTCACAGGCATGCTCGAAAGCTGAATTTCAGCTTCCTATCTTGCCTGGTTCGCGAAATCGAACCAGGCAGAGTAGGAAGTCAGGAGAAGACCATCCAATAAACCAGATAGTGAGGGAAAAGAAACAGAGAGGTTTGGGTCAAGCAGTCGTAAATTATCCAGATCTGCTGCCACGTGTTCTTTTCGGTACGAGCAATTTCCACCGTGCTGTTATTTCAAGTTCGAGAAATCCCCATTTCTCCAAATGCGGAGACAGACTACTAAGACAGCTGATCTAGGGGTACAAATATGTCGCCTTGTTATATCGGTAACATGTTTCCGCGATACCAGTGCAACTGATAACCTCTGGATCAAAGTACCCAGATGGCTTCGGATTGCTGAGAAGCTCACAGCTAATTGTCTCACAAATCTGTGAAAGTATGGGATATTTTTAAGTTATAGAAAAATGCAAGGTAACAAAAAACAGCATTCGTATATAGGTGACAGCGGTGACAGGCAATAAAAGAACGAGATAAAAAATAAAAACAACGGTGTGGCACAAAATTACAAGCGCTATATGGAGCAGCAATGGTGGTATATTCGAACAACAAAAACCAGGATGAAAATCCCAGGAAAAGCAATGGAAAAGAGCAGTAACCACCTGGTGAATAGTTGTGTTCACGATTCAACATGAAACCAAGGAATACTTACCACGAATACGCATAAGAATCGCTCGGATTTTGCCCCCCTCCCGGTCCCCCTCACCCCTCTCATACCTCATTTTTGCAACCCTTTATGCGTAAAAATACCGGTAGTAGATTCAGTAGATTTACGACCAGGTTTCTTAAGTTATCACATTTTTTAACTCTTTTAGTTGAATCTGTAATATAATTATTATGCTGTTCTGGCTGAGTTGTGTAACTTACCCGTCGGGTAAATTTCCCCCTCTCACTAAAAATCCCACGGCTGGAATTTCCCCGAAAAGAGAAAGAATTTGACGCAATCTATAAAAAAGAGTAGCAATCTTTGCTATGGATATGCCACTGCAGTACGATGATGATTAAAATCACACCTCACTGCCAAACTGTTTCCAGATTATCGAAAAAAGTGGAACCTTTCAAAATCGTTCCAGGTTGATGAGATTTCAGCTGAAATCGTAAAAGGCCCATTGAAAGTGCTAATATGTGGCGATCAAAGAAGAACGGTTGGATTCTTAAGAAATACTCAGTACAGTTAACGTTAGAGCCCCCCATTAAGAATTTAGGAAAAGCAAAATTACCGGAAGTACCAAAAGTCAAAAATTCTGCCACGTTTTTCTTTATTTATGATAGATAAGGGGCAAATCGAAATAAACCAGTTAGTAGCACTTTGCCAACAGCAATCACACGCTTACAAGACAGTTGGTGGCTTATTCCCCCCAAAGAAAAATGCTAACAAAGTAAGCTGAAGCCGGACCATGAACCACATCCAATAATCACGATCTAAAACGTAACGCAGCAATACACTGCAACAATGCGTAATAAGAGAAAAGCGAAATTTCAAAGAAAATTCTATTTCTACGAAAAAAATGTGAAGGAAGTGACTTTTATTACATCGATTTTACATTTTTATATAAGTGTAGAAACTTCGAAGTGTTTAAAAGAATGCCAAAAAATTCGGAAAAAATTCCGATTTTTTCGCAAAAACGGTTTTATTTTTTGAAAATATTGGTTAAATCGTTAAGTTGGCCGCAAAAAAAAATTCAATGGTTGTTCTTGATAAATCCAATTAAAAAAACAAGGAAAAAACAACTAAAACCTGAATAACTTAATTATTTTAACAATAGAAAAATAAATTTTAACGTTATTCCGTGGAAAATAAACTCTGGAAATCAACTTTAAAACTAACAGATGGTCGTATCGAAAATACGCAGAAACAGCTAAAATTTATATTCAGATTTCCAAATTGGCTGAATTGTCAAAAAACAAAAATCACCGAATATATCGGGACACCTCGAGTAATGAATTACCAAGAGCAGTAGCGAAATGCTTAGGACGGCATTCTGTGTGAGGAGAGGGTTTTTTAAGTTCGGTCGGAAATTTTCGTAGAAGAATTTTGGAAATTTCTGGAATCTTGTCATTTATATAGTAAATTTGCAACCTTGAAATTTTAAGCCTAAAATCAGCATTTCCGTATTTCAATACAACTCGATATTTTCAAATTATTTTCTCTGCACAATTCATAAAACTGTGAAATGTGGTCCAAAATAGCCCAAGGCCCAGTAATTTTAATAAATGTGAAGAACTATGAATTGAAAGTTATGGGAAATTTAATGAATATCACCGTTTATTCAGCCGAAACTACATCCACTACCGTTGCCGTTGTTGCATCGTCATCATATGGCGCATCTGAAAGACTACTTTGGCTCTGCTCACCTCGTGGATCCATCTCGGCGGCCCAGCTGAAGTTCAGCAGTGCCAGATGTGTATCACCAAGCCTTCTGTGCACACGACCGAGAAGGAAAAATACCTGCAATATTTACTTCTCAAACTCCCTCCATCTGAATTCCTCAAAAAAATTGCGTTCCTACCTCCCTTTCTTATTCCCAAAAAGGAAAAAATGAAAGGGAGTACGAAAAAAAAACCAGTACCAACAGCTACCAGATCACCAGACGGTGCATCAATTTTGCGAAATAACGGGAATCCGCGAGAGAAGAAATGGAGAAGCTGCTAGCTGCATCAGTGATGAGAAGAAATGCGATGATGAAACAACGGCTGGTCAAAACATCAAAACTAACGACCGCAAAATGTCACTTGCTTTCCCCGCAATCTGGTCCCTTTCGAAAAATCCATGCAACTTCCCTCATCTGTTTCCGCACGGGTGATAGCCGCTACGCGGAACAACGTGGAAATTCGCTTAGGCACTTCAAAAAACTACGCGTACGATTATGGGATGCGATACACCCAGCATTTCTCCTCGGGAGAAAATCTGAGTATGAAATGAGATGCACTGGCCATTATAATGTCGAATCATAAGTGGACGGTACAAGTGGAGCAACCGGAGCGGGTTAAACTGATAAATAATTTGCGGTCCTTGGTAGATCGAACCGCAATTTCCGAAGTAAATGGCCAGTCCGAACAGTCGAAAATATAGGACGGTCGTGATCCATGAGTTTTAATTTAAGGTGGGAATAGTGAATAGATTTCGAAGAGAAAATAGTAGGACCGTTAGTGGGATACAAAACCGTGTGACACGCTGAAAAGTCATGTAAAGAGGAATATGCAGAAGTTGGTCTGCCTATTTGTTCATCCCTTAGCTGTAA